GCATTAAGCTGCTGCTGCTGCTGCTGCTGCTGCTGCTGCTGCTGCTGCTGCTGCTTCTGCTGGTGCTGGTGACGTTGACGGGTGGCTGGGGGCAGGTCGGTGGGCTTTGGTTATTGTCGACACGGATATGTCATAATAGTTTATACGATATGTCACCAATGATAATGGCCGGCAGGATTGATATCGCAATGATATATTTACACCAACTACGTTACTGACACACATCGTACGCATGCAGTCCTGCATTCGTTCGCTTCGTATAATTGATTCTCGCGTGACGATGTATAGGAGGTAACGGGTTAAGGCTCGCGATAATTTATGCAAAAATGTTTATACCTGGTGCACTGTTACGACACACGCGTCTGTCGGGACACGAGCGTTTATGGCTACCCGTTTTAACATAACCTTAAATTTGTTCCAATTATAAATTCGACTGCGCTTTTCAAAATGCCAATCATGTCATTCAGGGTGACACGTACGACAGGGACCATCCAAGTGTAATTTATACAGTCCGTCCTAAATGGAAAACGTGCAGACGACACTTGTGTTCAAGGCAATCCTAACCGTAAAGCCTGCTTCGGTCTCACTGAAATTCCTCAAGGATGTTAAATTTTAATGAATTTTTGCTGCGCTGTTGTACACCCGGGCAGTATCTCTATATCTTTACTTCGGCTGGTCGTAGATACACGCTCCCTAACGTGGAATTACCATGACGTTAATGTGGAAGCAGTAAATTATTCCACATCCGCTTGAAAGGTTGACCAGTGGCTAGTTGTCGGTTTCCGTCATATGGCTACTGCCGATGTCGGCCACTAGTCCATTGTGTGTGCGCGGGAAAGCACCTGTGCATATACGCGTGCACAATCATCGCTACCCGCCGAAGACAAATATGAACTAGAATTCGTGAATAGTCGTTCTTACCTGTTGCGCGAGCGCTGACCCTGTTTCCTTATTCTCTGGTGAGGTCTTCCGTTTCCTCTCCCTCTCTCTCTCTCTCTCTCTTCTCTCTTCTCTCTCGGCTTCGTGTATATATCCAAAGTCCGATCACATGGACTGCCTGCTATTCGTAGTTAGGCTAGTATCAGCGTAGTCTACGATCTATAGTTCAGGTCCACTGTGACGTCCCGTTATATCTCGCCTGCTGCACCGCTCGCTAAGCTGAGCCCGTGTGTGGCACGCCGTCCCGCCGGCCCACGTAATAAGTTCGTCGCTCACGCAATAGGCGGAGCCAGCGTCGAGGGAACCCGTGCAGAACTAATGCGTAGGGATACGAGGGGGCGTAGCGTTTGTCCGTGCCTCACAGTCACGCAGCAACACCACGGCGTCTCGCGCTATTTTTATTGGAAAGTGAAAACGTTTCGGCAAAGGACGTTTAGAACAAGATAAACTTTGTAGGCACGAACGATCGGTGGGTGTATCGGGGGGTAGAGGAAGGGGGGGGACGTGGAGTGCAGACACAGACGGTGGCGTGCGGGACACACGAACGCACCCCGGACAGAAGCTTTTGTCGTGACCCGGTTTTCGCGATTTTCGCAAATAGTTGCAAATCGTGTTGACTTGAGTAGGCAAAAAAATACCGACCGATTGTAAGGGCTTGTATACGAGCCGTTAGAGTGCGTACTAAAACGGCCCACAATCGATATAGGATGGGGAAGAGATCGTGTTGCCGCTACTTCGCAGATTCCGCGCCTTCTATTCTACTATATCGGTAGAAATTGTTGAGTGAGAAAACTTTAGGCGGATGGAACGGCCAATAATATAATATAATTGGATTAATATAATAAGATAAATGGCTTTTGTTTAGGAGAGAAAAGAAAGAGAGAGAAACAAGAGAGAAGATAATTGAGCAAAAGAAACCGACGGACAGACAGACAGATAGACAAACAGACAAATAGACAAACAGACAAACAGGAAGACAGTCAGACAGATCGACAGACAGAGATACAGACAGATGGGAAGATATTCGTGGCGATATGAAGAGTGAAGGGGAGAGTCAGTTAGTAGGGTCTATTTAAGCCTGAGGGCAATATCAGATCCACGAGGCAGCGGCCTTCTCAGATACCATCTTACCTGTAGCCATCAACTGGGAACATATATATAGATGTCTATGTTGCTAGCTTCGCCCTCTGCAACTGTGATTATAAACCCTAACCACATACCTTAATTCGTATTTGATAGCGGACACGCCTGTAACAAATATGAGGGCGATCGTAGGGCGCTGCCAGTCTAGATAATTTACATATATGGGACATTGATTGGTAAAATTGAATATAGAAATGGTATATACTTTCGTTCCCGTGTGCAGCATGCCTCAGGGATTGGCTCTGGGAATCAGGGCTGTACATGGGTGGGTATAGTCCGCCCAATTGCAAGAATGTGCTCTTTTCTTTTCGCAGGGTGGGACCGTGTGTACGTGTAGCGTCAGTGCTCTTGAGATACAGGGCTGGAACAATATTTGCCACGACACGCGTGGCCGCTTTCTAGAGAAGTGTGGTCACCACAACACAGATATTGGTCACTGCGGTTACCAAAGGGGAGAAAGCGAACGGCGCATGCGTTGAGGAAATAATGACTATAATAAAATGTCATATAGCTTTGTCATTAAGCTTGGTTTGGTAAGCTAGCGAAGCGCGCGCTCTTAGCCACTAAAGAATTACAGTGTCATGTCTTATATATAGGATCATGTATTTATATATATATAAGGTTAAAAATATTATCCATTGCGGAAATGAAACTTGCTTACTATATCCCGTTTGTCTCGCAATGGGTGGTCCAAAAGATAATAGAATAACACGCGTGTTAGACGAACAATAGTGTTCTTCTATTATCTTTTGGACCACCCATTGCGAGACAAACGGGATATAGTAAGCAAGTATTTATATATATATAACATAATGAACATCCTGAACATCCCGCTTGACATAGTCTGTCATATTTCGCTTATACGATGATTTTATTTCGAATAAAATATATATATGCGACATATATAGTCATTTTATACGAACACCATCTGGATCGACATCACATCTCAGAAAATTTAGCAGTCTATATATAGTTATAAATACGTCAGTGACTAAGATATAAACTATTTTTCTACGATTTTGTTTTACTCCAGTCCTTCCAACTAAAAGTTTTTAATATAAAAATGGGAAGGATGATAACATATATTGGAGTAGAGCTAAATGAAAGCTATTCCATCGTTCTATGTTCCTAATGGTATTTTGATTTGTTTATTCGCACCATGACTGCCTTGTGCTATTGCTAATAAAAAAAAATTCAGCTACACTTTGCGCACAAACAAAGCAGTTGATAAAATAATAAAAATAATTTTTTATTAACAATGACGGCAAACATCTTGATGCACAGACCAACACAGAAGCTTATGAATATCACGTGAATCACGTGATCTCAACATCCGGCAACATTTCGTAGAAAATACAGACTAATTTTTTCCGCTAGTTAACAGAGGGCGTTTGTAGTTAGCGTGGCTTGTATAATAACATCGCTTGCAGCAGTTACAGTTCGAAATTCACGTCTTTCGAAAACCTTGAAATTTCGAACTAATTACGCAGGCGATAGAGGGCGTTGAGCGTTCGACTATAATAACCATGTACGACGTTGAAGACAACAACCAACAATGTCCGCCAATCACACACACACACACACTCACGCACAGACGCACGCTTTTCCCCTCTGATTTCTTCTACAAATCGGTTCGAATACTCTTTATTATTGTATCAATTGGGTCAGCATTGCCATCCATAGCTGGAATGCGCGTTTTTACGATGCTGGGCAGAAAACCCCGCGTAACGGGAAAACCTTGGGTGTGCGCTGTTGATATATGGACGCGATTTTATAGGTCAGACTTGGTGGGGCCGACAACAGATCGGTTGAGGGCTTTCAGACAAGAGCATACTAATACCATACGTAACTATTGTCTAACATAGCTGCCACCAGTATGATCGCTCGAGGTGGATGAATGTGTCTCACATTAGATCTTATACGTTTTCTCTGATATTACCTTTCACGTCACGCGCGAGTTAACGACGTGTAGCCAGGACATTTTTATTGCGCGAAGAATGACTTTGGTTTTTGGGACGTCAAAACTGGATTGCTTGCGTGAGTTCGTGGTTCTATACATGCATTCAATCTTCAACCTGATTGAAAGTTGCGTAGATTTGCTTTAACGGTTTCTCGGTCATTATGGTGTAAAATTCGCTCCCTATACATACGTAATATTCGGTCGGCCGAGCATCAAACTAAAACGTTGTCACGCATACGCCTACACAGAAAATACCGTTTATCATATAAAAAAAATCACAAGTAAACGCAATTCACAGATTCATGATTCACAGCATCTCACGGACATCGCGCTTCTAAATCATCGCTAATTACATCTATTTCCTGGCTAATTACATCTATTTCCTTGCTAATTACACGCGAATATTTCATCAACAACTCGCACATGTGATGCAAATAATTGAAATTATGTAAATAGCTCTAAATATGGCCTTCGTATTGCAATTAACAACAAATAATTATGCTTACATCATCTCTAGGGTATCCTGTGTCGGGAAGGATTATTTATAAAAACACTTGGATTATTACTTGGTGCGAACGAATATAAGACGACATTTATATTGTATCTAGATATCGCAAGGAATGCGATACAAATAAAGAATCCTTGAATAATAAGCACAATAATAATAAATATCTAATATATTCGGGGCTCATATAATCGGTATGATAATACAACACGAGTTTTACGTTCGTAGAAAAGGGGGGTTCGGTCGGATTTATGTGGGATCTATATAACTTCGTGAACAGTAATGCTATTAGCTGGTGTTCCACGTCGTAAACGCATTGACACTGACTCCGTTAAGCAAACCGTGAAATATGACGGCTGGGAAACACACCCCTTATATATATATTTCATATAGCGCACCGTGCGCGTTTCCCATCGCAGCGTGACAGATACCATGACTCTCCTCTGTCCTTGCCATACAGATTCCGCACATCAATATGTACGATACCCACCCAATAAAAACCGCGCTCGGTATATGTCCGATGCATCTTAATGACCATACGTACGTATACGTTCGAGTTTCCACTATAACAACACTAACTCTATGCAGGCAGGCTATTTCGCACTCCGGTTTAGCATAAGAAAACGCGCGTAACGGGACGGCTACAACTAGACCGTGAAGGATGGAGAAGGAGTTACACACGATAGGCAAGGCTGACTGACGTTCCCAGCTATGTATGTGTATTGAGGAAAAAATCAAAAACCGCATTTGATGAGGATGGATCGGGCGGGAGGGGGAGGGGGGGTTGATTTGCCCGTGCGCACGCTCGCTGCACAATAAGTAGAATTCTCGAATGGCCTCAACCGGCACATTTACCTCCTAGTTTCCGCGCCTGAAAAGGCGAGCTTTTCATTGTAGCATTAAAATGGGCGTTTCAAACCCGATGATTAGCATGGATTTCTGCACAATATGTAATACGATACGCGCTTTTAGGCGATATCAAACTAGATCAACCGATGGAGTGGGTGTGTGTTACGTCACCTCGCGTTAACAAGCCTAAAGCAGCAGCAGCCGCAGCAGTAGTAACCAGTATAACACTGTTTCTCGGTAAACATCGTTGCACGTAATTCGCACACAAGTTCTAATTCGATTAAAACTGCATTTAGAATTTGTCGGAGAGCTAAGAGAGACAAGTTTAATTAGATTAGCTTGCGTTCTTCTTTATTCTCCTACACCGGTCTGAGAGCTTTATGCAGAAACGATTGCACGAACAATCGTATTACTGACTTCCAGACAGTAAATCTAAGACGAATTAACTCCGTCACCCGTTCTTAGGTATGCGATACATTCGTGCGGCGAACCGCCGCCTTGGCTCCCTGTCCACCCTGGCAGAGTGTGCACTACTGACCCCAATGAGCACATTACAGCCGCGTATGTCCCACAAAGGCTAATGAATGACCCAGATGCTATTAATCCGAGTGTGAAACGAGGCACCCCCTTATTTTACCTGTCTCCCGGATTGCGGCAGTTCGTGTGAACGTAATAGCTACTTGTTGGGCGTGAAGGACCTAATTAGACGCAGCGTACGTGTGTGTATGTGTGTGTGTGTGTGTGTGTGTGTGGGTGTGTGTGTGTGTGTGTGTGTGTGTG